AAAGCATAATGCAAGCAGACATATGCACACCTATGTTTATTGCATCAATTTCCATGGTAGCAAAAATATGGAAACAATTAAAAACTTCAGTTATGGGGCAGTGGACTAACAAACTCTGGTACATTCATACAGTGGAATATTATGCATCAATTAAAAACAATGATGATTCTTAAATACCATAAGTCATGGACAAAGCAAGAGAACATTATGCTTAGCAAAGTGAGTCAATCTTATAAAGAAATATTTAATGACACTATTATTATAAAAAAACATAAAAGTGGTTTTCACACTAACGGGATAAGGCTTTGAACAATATGAGGAGGTCAGGGTGTAAAGGGAGAGAGACAGAAAATTATAGATGGAGGGAAGGAGGGGGGAAAAAGAAGTGAGGATGGTAAGGATTTGTGTCACATACTTTGGACATGTTGTCAGGAGGGACCAGTCCCCTGAGAAGGACATCATGCTTGGTAAAATAGAGTATCAATGAAAAAGTGGACGATTCTCAATGAGATGGATTGACATGGTGGCTGCAACAACAGGCTCACATATAGAAATGATTATGAGGATAGTGTATGACCAGACAGTGTTTCCTTCTGTTGTACACAGCGTCACTCGATGGCACTAGCAATCACATATAACACTTGTTGGACGGGAGGCTCAATTCTACGTGAGTCACTGACATCCCAGAACAAACCTGTCATCCTGGTTCGGAGATGGGGAACCTGAGGCACACAGCAAGGACGCGGAGGACTTGCAATTTGAATCCAAGATACCTAATTTCAAGTCTGTGCTTGTAACCTCTTTGGAATTGCATGTTGAATTCATTTTTTAATGATAGGATTTTAATGAAGGAAAAATAGAAATGCCTATACATGAAATAAACCACGTTGGAAAAATGAATTAAACTTTAGACTGCTAACCTCAAGGTTAATGGTTCAAGATTACCAGCTACTCTATGGGAGATAATTGAGGCCCCATAAAAATACACAGTCTTAGAATCCCTATGGAACAGTTGTACTCTCCCTACAGCGTCACCGTGAGTGGGAGCAGACTCGATGGCCATTGGCTTCTATGTGTGCAAGAAGCAGCAGTTTCACATGGAGCACTAAAGTGAGCCTGACCCAAGCCATGCTATTGTAAATCACCTCACATGCGCGTGAAACCTGGACAGCGAATACGGAAGACTGAAGAATTTATTCATTGAAGGATGGTGATGGCAGAGAATATTAATTGAGGGTGGCCTGCCAGAAGAACAAACAAATCTGTCTGGGAAGCAATGCAGGCAACGTGGTCCTTTGGCGCAGGACGGCAAGGCTTCATCTCATATGTTTTGGACATGTTATCAGGAGGGCCACCAGTGTCTGGTGAATGACATCATGCTTGATAGGTGTCGGCGGGAAGAGGAAGACCGTGTATGCGAAGGATTGGCGCACTGACTGCAACAAGAGTCTCGGACATCTGAGTGACTGTGAGGATGGCGCAGGACCGAGAAAGAAAACATCCATAAACATATTTTATGACACACGTGATACAAGATGACGTTATTAAGTTTTTCTACCTTTTAATACATTGTTTGGGTTGTAAAAAAAATCACTGACTCTCAGCCTTGGCTTGGCTGTCTGTTGGAATCACCTGGTGTATTTTTTTTTAATCATTTTATTGGGGACTCATACAACTCTTGTCACAATCCATAAATCCATCCATTGTGTCAAGCACATTTTTGCATTTGTTGCCATCATCATTCTCAAAGCATTTTCTTTCTACTTGAGCCCTTGGTATGAGCTCCTCTTATTCCCCTCCCTCCCCAACCCTCCCTCCCTCACAAACCCTTGATAAGTTATAAATTATTATTTTCATATCTTACATCGTCCTCTGTCATCCCTCACTAACTTTTCTGCTATTCATCCCCCTGGGAAGGGGTTATAGATTGATCCTTGTGATTGAGTCCCCCTTTCTCCCCCCACCCTCCCCTAATCCTCATGGTATCTCTACTCTCATTGTTGGCCCTGAGGGGTTTATCTATCCTGGATTCCCTGTGTTTCCGGCTCTTATCTATAGCAGTGTGCATGCTCTGGCCTAATCCGATTTGTAAGGAGGAATTGAGGGCATGATAGTGGGGGGAAGGAAGCACCAAGGAACTACAGGAAAGTTGTGTGTTTCATTGGTGCTACACTGCACCCTGACTGGCTCATCTCTTCCCTGTGACCCTCTGTGAGGGGATGTCCAATTGTCTACAGATGGGCATTGGGTCTCCACCCCATTCGCCGCCTCTCCATTCACATTGGGTATGATTTTGTTCTGGGTCTTAGATACCTGATACCTGATCCCATGGACACTTCATGATCACACAGGCTGGTGTGCTTCTTCCATGTGGGCTCATTGCTTCTCAACTAGGTGGCTGCTTGTATTTCTTCAAGCCTTTAAGACCCCAGATGCTGTATCTTTTGATAGCCAGGCAACCTCAGCTATCTTCAACACATTTGCTTATGCACCCATTTTGTCTTCAGCAATCTTGTCGGGAAGGTGAGCATCACAGAATACCGGATTGTTAGAACAAAGTGTTCTTGTGTTGAGGGAGTACTTGAGTTGAGGCTCAATGTCCATCTGCAACCTTAATTCTTAACATATAGATATGAGTACCTAGTTCTATTTCCCTCTCATTATATATAAGTAAATATATTTACATATGTACATGCCTGTATTTAGACCTCTATAAATGTCCTTTGCCTCCTGGTTCTTTCCTCTATGTCCTTTTACTTTCCTCTTGTCCCACCATCATGCTCGGCCCTCATTTGGGTTTGGTAATTCCTCGCTGCTACATTGCCTTTTATTAAGCCCCACTAGGCATCCTACAACCTTCTTTCCATCGATTTTAGTTCACTTATTGTTCCCTTGTCCCGAGGTGGTTCCCCCACCTCCCCCACTCCTTCCTTTCTCCCACCTCCCCTTCTCCGATATCCCCTCAGAACGAATGATTCTGTTCTGTTCTTTCTTTCTTTCCTTTTTAAAAAATGGTTCTGTTATTTTCATCTCTGAATTATTTAGCCCACCTATCTTATCTAGATAGACATGCATAGACATGAATAAGTGCAAAAACCAGGCAAAGCCAAATAAAACAAGGGAAGTAAAAACCAGCAAAACAATAACAACAACAAGCAAAAACAAAATAACAAAAAGAAAGCCACTGACAAAAATTGAAAAGCTTATAAGTAGTTCAAGGTCTGTTTGTTGGTCTTTACGAGTGTTTTCCAGTCGGCTCGGATGGGGTGGCACACTCTGTCTCCAAAGTCTATTTTTTTAATTTTCCCCGGGGATTTCCTCACTTTGCCCCCTTGCTGCTCTGTTGCACGCCCTTAGTGTTGTGCCCCAGCGTGATGGGGTCAGGTTGTGCACTGTTCCCGCACTGTGTCCCCAGTGTTGTCCCCCGCAGCACTATGGTTTAGTGAGGGACGTCGCGTCTCGTGGTGGGGCCGGCCCTTTGGTCCTCTCTGTGCAAAGACTGCTCTGAGCAGGAACATCGTCCTGGGGCTTGATGGGCCAGCATGTCCCCCTCCTTCTCCATCCTTTTCGTTTCTCCCGTACTCTGACTCGCCGCTCTCCCCAAGCTGTAACCCCAGTGCTGTCCTCTGAAATGCATTCTTCGGAGGAGGGAGGTGGTGTACACATAGTCGAGATGGGGGCGGCCCCGCAGACCTCTCTATGGGTTCCCTGGTACTTGCCGGTATGTTGTATTCACGTCTGGGCGCATCCGGTTGAAGTCTGGTCTCTCTCTCCCTCTCCTGTGGAGAGATAAACAATACCCTCCCCTTGGGTGGGTTAGTGCCCTGCTCCCCCGCTACCCATGTCTTTTTTTTTTTTCTCTGTTTCTTTCTCCCTCTTATTTAGTTGACTGCCGCATGTATCCCTGGATTGGGTTTGACCCCTGCCATAGTTGCTGGACCTCACCCCTAATGTATTTTTAAACTGTTGATGAGAGGCCAATTCCCAGAGATTCTAATATATCAGATATGGAATGGAGCCTGGCATCAGACTTTTACATACCTCCCAGGTGCCCCTGATGTGCAGCAAATGTGGAGAAACATTAGTTTTGAACCGCTGTTTTGGAACAAGACAGAGACTGTTTGTGCAATTGTCTGATCTAACGCTAGATGGAGTATTGTCTTCATGAAAGCATTTCAACAACCATGGTGGGATTTTTTTTTTTTCAGAGTGGTTTTTGTAGGCTAAATAAGGAGGCAGACAGGAAACATGGTAAGCTTGAACCAAGCAGAACTGAGACCAGGTATTCTGCCAGGCTTTGACCTGGCACTCTATGTAGTTAGCGCACACTTTTTTCAAGTTCTGGGAAGGAATTCTCAGAGGATTTTCTGTCTGAAATCAAAGGAAAACACCATTGCTCCTTAGCGCCTTCCTGCCTCTGCATCCTTTCTGGATATGAATTACAGAAGGCAGGTCTTGTGGAAAACCACGCCCTCTGTTGTGTTGGCTACAAGGGTAAGATGGAATGAGGCTCTTCGGAACTCTCTTAATTAAATGTACCTACATAATTGACTGTGTGGTAAATACCCAAGAGGGCAATATTTCACACTATTTATAGACTCAGAGTAGTGGCGGAAGTAAATAGGACAGTAAGGAGCAGAACTGTTACATTAAGAAGATTCCTATGCCCCCAACACACAAGAGTGTGATTTTTCAGGGTACAAGTTCTTCTGGGCTTAATTTTTCTCCCTTAATCTCAAAATAAACACCAGCCTCCACACTTCATGGTGATGCACTGTTGATTCATTAAAGAGCCATATGCTGATTTCCTGTAAGTGCCCCATTCATAATGATCATAGGCGAAGTAGTAAAAAATGCACAACCTAAGAAAAGCTTTGCAATAAAATTAACCTTAAAACTAAGTGCAATTGCTCTATCCGTGTTTCCACTATTTCAACTTTTCTTCCATCAGAATTCAGACAAACTCTTTTTAACAAATACAATATTTTCATGTTTTCTAGAACAAAGAATCCCATGTCCATGAGAAGGAAAAGGTGACTGCTTCCTAGAGCAGGGAATGAGATATGAAAGACTTGAAGCTTCTGTCACAGCAATTCATCGTCACAGTCTGGGATGATGAGCCCCGGGCAGCCTGCGCGTATCTGTGGGAAGACCAGTGTTTGTTGTGCCTATCACTTACTCCGGCAAGCGTAAGACAGCTTCTCAAAGTGGGTGCTACAGAATTCTAGGTTTTTGGGATGTTAGAACAGGCCATTTGATTTTTTAAAGGGGGCACAGTTTCAATGTCAAATACGTTTAGAATATTATAGGTGAACTAGTTCAACGGTTCTCTTTTCTGCCGACCTTCTTTAGCGTCATCAGTGGACCATTGTGCTTTTCAGTGATCTTTCAAAGGGGGCACAGCTTTCCTAGTGTATTTGACCTAGATTTTTATTTGACTTTTAGCCCTAATCTGACTATCTGGGCAATACAGTGGGAATGCCAGTTATAAACCATGCCGGAGCACAGACCATGCTGATCTGACTCTGCCCCCATGTCTAGTTCAGCGCCTGCCAAACAGAACCAACCGCTGACCGAAGCTGACGCTGTCCTGATCCATAGCAGGACAAGGACCCGATCAATGGTTACACGTCTGAAATGACATGACGAATGGTGGGTAAAATGGCAGGAGAGCCCTGGCCACGCACAGCCTACGTTCCCACAAGAAGAACACAGGTGGCTGTGGCAGGCTTCCCAGACCATTCTCCCCGGCGAGAAAATTAAAAAGAGGCTCTGGGGTCCTTAGTGCAGAGTCTCAACTCTCACCATTCTAGGGGTGCCACAGCAAGAATAAGGGTGTGTTTCCTCTCCCCCACTGAAGCAGAGCTTACCGGTGCTCTGCCCATACCCTCAACTGCCAGCCCCATCCACTCACCAGGCGCCTGGGACTGGCATTGCCCAACCCCCTCATCCCTCAGTTGGAATAGCGCTGAAGAACGGGTCGCAGGTGCACCTTGATAGTAAGCTGGCCTCCTCCCCATCCCCACCCCTGCCTCACACACCCACTCCCCTGCCCTAGACAAACTCTCACGAAGACCTCCTGCTCCTGGTCATTAGTCAGATTGTGCTGCTGGGCCACTTCGAATGAGTCCTCAGCTGCTAACCCTAGGGCTGGTGGTTTGGGACCCAGCCAGTAGCCGGTCCTGCAGAAGAAAAGAGCTGGCACCTGCTTCTGCAGAGAAAGCCTATGGCGCCGTCCTGCACTCGACCCCAGGGCACCACCATGGGTCAACATGGATGTAGGGTAACCAAGGCAACGGTGTGGTCCTATCTTTTCTATAGCCTCTCCCCTACCTTGGCCCACCTCATCGACAGGACCTTTCGGTCCCCGGATATTTCCTCCAAAGTATTTCACCGAGTCCTCAAAGGGGAAACTCACATGTGCTCAGATCTACAGGCACCACTCTACTTGCTCCAGAGAGTCCTGGAATTTGCCTAAAGAACATGCCCAGTACTGTGCCAGGTGCTGGGGACATGAAGGTGCATGAGACAGGCTCGGTCCCCGCCCTCATGAAACTTCTAGGCCCTCAGGGAAGGACAGCATGTTTACATAAGCACATGCAAGGACAATTTCTAATAAGCAGTGGAAGTAAAAGCACAAGCTGCCATGAGAGAGAGAGACAGACAGACAGAGAGAGACAGAGACAGGAGAGCTTAAATTCAGTCAAGGGCGGAAGGGAGTGGGAAGGCAGTAGGACCGCTCCCATGGGCGTATATAGGCAGAAGGCAGTTCTCATATTGTTGTCGTGTGGAAGGCATACATGAACTAACTCAGTGTGTGGGTGGGCCAGTCAGGAGAGACCCAGGTGGACTGTAAGATATGTGCCAAGTCCCTGGTGGAGGAGTGTGTCTCTTCCCATGCCAATATTCCTCACCTATCTGTCAGCGGAGGCTTGCATGTTACGTTGCTTTGATGTTGAATAGATTTCAGCAGAGCTTCCCAACTGTGGTAGCTACACAGTTTCTTGTCAATTTGATAACTAGAGTGAAGGGGTGGAGTTTAGCCTGTCAATCTAAGGTCACAGGTGGGCATGACCTTCTCAGGTGGATTCTGGGAACTTCATCTCTTCCTCCTGGGAGACAGACATACGCTCTCTCTGCTTCACATTGCTGTTGACAAGCCACATGGAGGGAGCCACACTGATGGCAGCCATAGCCCTGGAGATGCATTCACGCCATTGGATCCACAGGACTTTCCAGCAACCAGCCTGTGATCTTCCTGCAGTCGGCCTCATTCCATGTCCTGTGTCAGTCTGAAGAGGAATTTGTGGGTTAATATCAGACTTATGAGCTAATATAAAACTTAAGGACTTGATCTGGACTGAGTTGGGATGTTTTATTGATGCAAAATTACTTCTTGATATAAAGTTCTCTCTAATAGATATATGATGTCTCTGGGTCTGTTTCTTTAGTGACCCTGGACTAACACATCAACTAAGGCCGACTGGAAGGAGGATCAGTGAAATTCCTATGGATCATAACAGTCCACACCACACCGGAGCACCTGACTGACCCTGGTACAGGATCTGGAAGATTTTTGTGCTGTTTTGGATAGGATCATCACTGATCTTAATTGGTAGGCTTCCTATGGTTTCTGAAGCCATAAAGCCCTTTAGGGAGCAGGGGAAGAAATAGAAAAGCCCCTTCCTTACTCAGTGTCTAACTTGGTCCTCTGGGCCCCAGTCCCCTGAGACTCTCTGGAAGGACAGGTGCATCTCTCCTGTGCACAATTCACCATATCCGAGTCTTCTCTCTGCAAGTTTCTTTAGAGGAGCAGCCGGTGGGTTTGAACATCAGACAATAATGTAGCTTTTTCAAACCGAATAATTTCACTCCGCAATATGCATGTAAGGTTCCTCCATGTCTTATCATGGCGTGATAGCAATTTTCTTTTAATTCCTGAATTGTGAACATATCACCATTTGTATAGTCCTTCACCTCCGGGTTTTTAAACATTGGACTGCTTACCCTCAAGGTCTGGGGTTCAAACTCACCAGCTTCTCCTCTAGCAAAAGATGAGGTTATCTGCACTCATAAAGATTTGCAGTCTCAGAAATCCTATCTAGGGTGGCGCTCAGATGGAATCTCCTCAACGGCAGGGGGTCAGCTCAGGCCACACAGATTGTATCAAATGTTTGGATGCAATGTGTGGGGCGGCTGGTCTGAATTCTACTTCCAGACCCCACACTTGCAAGGAAGCAGAGTGTCGAACATTGGCATCACCCAGTGGTCCCAGGATCCTAAACATCTCCCCCAAAGTGCCTGTAGGCCTTTATCTTGTGCAACACAAAACTCCTCTCATTCTTGATAAGACAATGTTTTCAGAATCTACCACCTCTCGGAGTTCAGAGTGACCTGGATTGCGGTTTCTATCTCAGGCCGAGCAAACTCAGACCAATCCAAGTGGCCTCTCCCCAGCTGTTTGTGGAAGAAGCAAGTTTGTCCCGGGCTCAGCGCGCAAAGCACAGTGCACAGTCCGCCCTGCTTCTCCACTCCAACCGCATGCAGCCGCCAGCTTAAAGGTAAAAACGTTTAAGGGAATGACCCTGGGTCAATGCCTTTTGTCCACTTTGGGGGTCTATTTTTCCTTCCTTTTACCAAAGATCAGTGAGCCCCAGGTGTGCAGCTCCAGGGGTTCATATTTAGATAAGAGGCCTTCCTCCTTAGTCACTTTTCTGCTGAGGTTCCTTGTTCCCCTCTCTCCTTTTCCACACCACGGGAAGAAGCCCTAAAGGGAGGCCACCCCTCTCAACTTCCTTGTTAACTTGACTGTGGAGAGACTGGATTTCACAGAAGCCAGAGCAGCACGTTCCTTCAAAGCCATTACCAGCGACTTCTGAGTCAACACCAGTCATAGCACTTTAGACTTTTCGATGACTCAGACTCTTATTGGGAATGTAGCTATAATAATAGCACATTCCGAGTCATGTGTCACATAGTTTATTAGCATCCCAAATCCAGGTGAGATTTTTAGAGGGAAGGGTCATCTAAGCCAGGGGTCCTCAAACTTTTTAAACAGGGGGCCAGCTCACTGTCCCTCAGACCCATTGGAGGGCCGGACTATAGTTTAAAAAAAAAACTATGAACAAATTCCTATGCGCGCTGCACATATCTTATTTTGAAGTTAAGAAACAGAAGGGGGAAAACCACCCGGCAGGCCAGATAAATGCCCTCGGTGGGCTGCATGTGGCCCGCAGGCCCGTAACACTGTTCCATAGGATTACATAAAGAAATATCTCAACATTCCCATAGCACCCCAGTGGAGAAACAGCATGAAGAATTATGGATTTAAATACTTCACAGTGATGCATTCATGTTCCACACCCTGTCGTGGTTTCCCATTGCAACATGTTTTCCATGTGGATTTCTTTGTCGAGTGCTGGCACTTCTCGCTCCCTAGTCTTGTCTCAGCCCCAATTCTAACCCTGGCTTCCTTCCTTGCACGGGGCCTAAGCATAGAGCCACATGCAAATATGGGAAGGACTCCTCAATCATAAGGACTAGAACACAAAGTCTAGACGCTGTCATTGGACAGTGAAATGCAGAGCACCCAACGTTCTGGAAGAACAAACAAATGGTTGAGATATTTTTTTCCAGATGCGTCTCCTTCGTATTAGCAGGCATGCGCTGGCACTTTAAAATATGAAGCTTTGGAACATGTCTGTTGCAAGCCCAGAACAAACTAATTTATTTCATGTGGATTCCTATCAGCAGCCAGGAGAAGGAACCAGCTTACAACCGGATCCTTCTCGAACATGCTCTGGGTCAGAGTCTCTCTCGGGGAGCTTCAGCATAGCAGATCCCAAGGAGTGGCTCTCCAGTGGGACGGGGCGGCTGAACCCTTCTCGGCACCAGAGCAGAAGACACGCGCTTTCAGCACAAGACAAACAAGTGGGCTTGGTCTATGTCCTTTTCTTGTTCTCCAAAGGTCCTTGACCCTGCACTTTCAAGACTGGCTATTCCTGAGCAGAGGGTCATAGGGGTTAGAAGTGGGGCCGAGCAACAGAGAGGCATCCACACATGCTTGCAGTCCCTACTGCCAGGGACACACAGATGGGCCTCGGCCAGCAGCGGTGAGAACCCAGCCAACACTGCGCGACTTTGCACAGCTAGCCGGAGCCGACCAACCAGCTAATTCAGAAAGCCTAGCAACGAGAAGGCCAATATTCAGCACAGTGGCCAGCCCAGTTCTGACAGCTGTCCCTTCGAATTGGTCGATGCTCATGCCTTCCCATTCCCCAGGCCACGGCGTACGGAAGCTTGTGGGCCTCCATTGCCCAGGTGCATGATCTCATTTCATCTTCACAACCGTCTTGCTGGGTCGGGGTATCTTCCCTGAACCCATTCACGGGTGAGGAAACGGAAAATCCCACGAAGCTTCCCTCAGCTGGGGGAGCAGGAGTCTCCGTTGTGGGCAGGGGCCAGGCAGGACCCCTTCATCTTTCGACTCCCAGAGATGGCTCAGCCTGTGACACAGTAAGTGCTCAGGGAAAAACGGCTCTGCCCAGAACCATCAACAGCTGAATAAAGAACCAAAGCCCCGGATGTATTTGTTTAATTACCTGAACCAAAGCCTCCTGGGGAAATAAGGACCCTTCTGATTCCCTGTAGTTATCTTTTCCTTTAACCCAAGTCAGTTGCTATTGAGTTGACTGGGAAAGGGCGGCCCCATGAGTGCGAGTAGACCGTGCGTCACAGATGGGTCCAGAGTGACCTTTAGGCAGCAGACCGCCAGCCTTCCTTCAGAGGCACTTCCAGGAGGGTGCTAGCTGATAGCGGCCCAGAGCGGAGCCATTTGTACCACTATGGGACTTCAGTTCCCTCAAGCCCCTGAAAAGTGAGCTCAGCTCCACTCAGAGCAAAGCAGGCAGCTAGGCGAGACAAGAAAGGACCTTCCCCCTGGAGCCCTTGGAAGCCAGCACCGTTTCAGATGCCTACTACCCCCAGGTCTAGCACACAGTACATCTCCGTTCTCAGAAACCACCTAGCTAGTTGTATTTGGCTGAAAATGAATACAGTTATCTTTGGGTCTTCTCTCTGAAAGGTCTTGGTAACATGTGGAGACCAGAAACTCCAAAAGTTCTTGGAAAAATAGAATGAAAGATCATGGGATTTTCCCACAAACTTTTTAAGCCCTCCGGAAGGCAACCTGGCAGGACTAGCACATTAACCAGTGGATTGGTTAATATTTTCTGCCACGTTGGCATTCAATTGCTTGGAGATGTGAACACGAATCATTTTCTTTCTTGGCTGTTTGGCATCCTACCCACTACCTTGCCAGGGGTTGGGATCTTCCTGGCTAGACACACACAGAACCCCCTTGTAGCGGTTCTCTAGCACCAATGTTAAATCGAGTTTTTTGACCTGATTATTAAGTGGGTGGCAGCCGATGTGTGCCACAGGGAGAAGGGTTACATCATAGAAGTTAGCAAGTGCTCAAATCGGAGAGCAGGTTGTTAAACACTTTGGGCACATCACTCACCACACCCCTTGGACTTAGCCTGTTTATCCCGTCAGAGGCTTTGAATCTCCAGCAAGTGTTCCAAACACGGGGGCAGATGCAAACCACGGATTGCAGTGGCATCTGGTTATAGTGAGGTATCTGCTGGAGGGGTGGCAGTGACCTTGGCCAGGTCTTCCTCTGGTCTGACGACCTTCATTCCTGCCCAACTTCCAAGCCTCCTTCCTCTGCCTTCGCATGAATCCCAAGAGCTCCCCTTTCCTGCTTATGTTAGCCAGCAGCAGCTCCTGCCAGGGCATTGGCCTTACACAGATGATGAGTCACCTGATAGACCGAGGAAGCTCTCGTTTTGATTTATGAAGATCTGCTTGCAGCAGAGTAGTCCTGGGTTTATTCATCTAGCAAGTTTCACGGTGCACTACAGTATGCCAGGCACTGTTTAGTGCTTCCACATGGAGCTGTGAACACCGGCACATCCCTGTCCCTAAGGCTCTTAAACCAATTCAGCCAAACACACTGTCCTTGAGTTGAGTCCAACACACGAATGGCGCAGCCCCTATGGTTTTCCAAGACTGTAACTCTTTACGGGAGTAGAAAGCTTCATCTTTCTCCCGCAGTCATAAGCAGTTTTGAACTGCTAACCTGGAAGTTAGCAGTCTAATGCAAGACCCAGTACACCACCAGGGCACCTCTCTAAGAAAGCTATTCTCTGGCTAATAGGAGGCGGGTATCAAACAACTGACTGTCTAATTCTGCAAATCCTTCCACTGCCATTGGTCCATATTAGTCTATTGGTAAACAAGGGGTGCCCAATAAATACTGGGAAAAAGCTCCACTAGGTGGAGCTGTCGTATGCATTTTCCCCACTAGGCGAGCATTGAGCAATGCACTGAGTGCACCCAGTGGCGTCACCTGGTAAGTTTCACTCTGGTTACAGTGAATTTTTTCAGAAAAGAAGTTTCACTTGAACCTCATTTATTGTGATGGCCAATTAAGAGAACAGCCTGAGGCTGTGAAATTTTGTTTCACAATTGAACATTGAGAAAACATTCCAGGCCAGGCCAGATCAAGTCCACAAGTCCAATATTAGCCCATGTTTCTGATATCAATCTGTAAAGTCCTCTTCAGACTCACGAAACACATGCAATGATGCTGAATGCAGAAGGTCACAGGCTGGAGGGTAGAAAGTCTTTGGATCCAGTGTCATTGGAAACATCTCGGTGCTGGCAGGGGTCTCTCTGTGGCTCCTCCAGTTTCCGAGGTCTGGTT